TGTGTGTGTGTGTGTGTGTGTGTGTGTGTGTGTGTGTATGTGTGTTCGTGTTTCCTTAGAGACTGTATCTTGACTTTGGTCCCTTTTCTTTCTCTCCCTTTCCACTTCCTGCCTATAAGATTAGCCATCCCATCCCCCATGTTGTGCCTTACCAGGGACCCAGAGGCAGTGGAGCTGGGGAAACATGGCCTGAAGCTCTCAACACATGAGTCAAAACAAGTCCTTGCTCTGTCAAGCTGATTTTCTCAAATATTCTGAAACAGTGACAGAAAGCAGACTAATCTAAGGAAATAAAGGTTGAGAGAGATGAAATGACAGATAAGAAGCAGGGGCAATGTCGCCCAGACACTGGGCCTTTAGAAATCCTCTTTACCATGGATAGACCATTGCTTTTTGGTAATTAGGGTGATTAAATACTCAATAATCATTTAAGGATGACAGAAATTCTTTCAATTAAAACACCCTGTGACTTTTTGTCCAAACTAAGAAACTCAGTTTAAAGTTATCTTGGAGCTGGGGCTCAGTGGTAGAGTGCTTATTAGAATTCAGGAGGCCCTGGAATTGCATATTTTAGCAATTCCATTTCCCTTAAAGCTCATTTATGGGCTAAAGGCTCTTAGATTTATGTTATCATGACCCAGATTCCTTGAATGGTTTCTAGTTATACTAAGCACCAAAAAGGATGTGTTGAGGGAAACAAATGCTTTGACTGTAAGCACCATTACTTTCTTCAGAATCTCTTAGAAAGTTTCTGCTGCCCTAGGAAGGACTGGTTATTTCCTTGGGGACTAAACAAATCCTCAAAGCAACTGTATTAGATGTCCTTTTATTTCAAATAATATAGAACTGTTTGGAAGGCACATTAGGCAGAATCTACTAGTTTTCTCCTCAGAGTCTATTTTCTGTCTTAGATATAGAAATCCAATTCTGAGGCCAGAGAGTAATGCACCCAGCTATAAGACTACAATTCCCAGCTGTCTTTGCGGATAGGTGTGAACATGTGACCAAAGTTCTGCCCAATGAGATGTAAGCAGAACTGTGGGTCTTAAGGGAAAGGACTTCTAAATAGGAGCTGATTCATCTAGGGGCATCCTTCCTCCTGCTGTATCATATATCAGCCTTTGTAAAGTGACCTAGAGGGAGGAAGCTAGAGGCTAGGCTGTGGGGCATGAAGCTAGAAGGCACCTGTGTCTCTCATGATCCCAGAGCCATCACGAGTCTGGGAAATGCCTACTTCAGACATCTTTCATAGGGAGGGTAAGACTTGCCCCTTGCTATCTGGGCTGCTTCTGTTGGGCTTTTACTAAAGAAGGAGCTTAGAATTTTAAGTATATACCTTTGGTAGCCCTGACCCCATCCATCTTTCAAAGACCCAGTCTCAATTACATAGTTACCAAAAGAATAAGACCTTGGTCTCTAACACTCTATGAGAGAATAGATTTTTTTTTTTTTTTTTTGGTCTCATTTTTGAGACAGGGTCTCAGCTGTAACCAGGCTGCCTCCGCCTCCCCAGTGCTGGGATTAAAGGTGTGTGCCACCACACCCGATGAGAATAGAATCTTAACTTTGATAATTACCATCCAACAAACATAGCTGGTCTAGGCTCAGTTACACTAGCCAACCCTCTGTACTTTTTGCCTCACTGAACCTCCATGTTCCCCTAGTTGTTTTTTGTTTTGTTTTGAGATGAAGTCTTATGTAACTCAGGTTGGCCTTGAACTCACTATGTAGTAGAGCCTGGCATTGAAATGCCTGATCCTCCTGCTTCTACACCAAGCCCTGCGCCAGCACCAAGGTTACAAATATGTGCCACCACACTCACCCACTTATTGTTGGGCATGGTAGCTCACTCCTGAAATTCTAGATTTTGAGGGACTAGAAGTTCTGCTCTTGAGGAAGACTATCATGAGTTCAAGGACTGCCTGGTCTTCATAAAGAGTTCCAAGATTACAGAGTAAGACAGTGTCTGAAAAAATAAAAATCATCAATTTTGGCAGTCACACAGCTGAGCAATATGCTATAGTCTCCCCTAACTTGGCTGTAGATAATATCTCTAATCTGTGTATGGGTTATGGTGATTAACAGCTGCTTAGATTATTTTTTCAGGGACTTGAAGGATAATTTTGTTGAAACTACATAAAGTTGGACTATGCATACAGACATCATTGATCACCTCACCTACATCTATATCCTGTAAATATCCTCAAACCCTGTCCTCAGGGAGGAGATTTGAAATTTGAGTCCTTTACCTCTTTTGCTTGGCTTTGTTGAGAATCAACTTTTTCTCTTTTGAAAGTATCCTTGTTTCAGCAACTTACCAACTGTGCAGAGGGTAGTAGCTTGTTTTGGTTACTGTAGGCTGGACAGCTTAATTGTCAGTTTACATACCTGGTTAGAGGGAACCTCAATTGAGAAATTTTCTCCATTAGATTGGCCTGTGGCCATGTCTGTGGGGCATGTTTTTGATTGTTGAGTGATGTGGGAGGGCCTAGCCCACTGTGGGCAGTGCCACTTCTGGGCAGGTTGTCCTGTGTTGTATAAGAAAGTAGGCCAAGCATAGCCCAGGGAGGCAAGCCAGTAACCAGCGCTCCTCCATGGTCTTTGCTCCAGGTTTCTGGCCTGAATTCCTGCCTTGGCTTCCCTTGATAATGGACTGTGCTTGTAAGTCAAATATACCCTTTGTGGTGGTTTAAATGAAACTGTCCCCCATAGGCTCCAAGTATTTGGACATTTTTGTCCCCAGTTGGTGGTGCTGTTTTGGGAGGTCTTAGAAGGCATGGCTATCCTGGAGGAAGCACGTCACTGGGGGTGGGCTTAGAGAGTTCTTAAGGCCTTGCCGGATCTCTAATCACTGTCTTGCTGCCTTTACCTGCTTGACGATGTAGAGCCTAGCTTCCACTCTTCCTCCAGCCACCTCTGCCACCATTTCTCCCTGCCATGATGGACTCTTGCCCCTTAGAACCGTAAACTCAAATAAACTCCTCCTTTCATAAGTTGCTTTGGTGAATATTTCTATCACAGCAACAGAAAAGTAACTAATATACCCTTTCCTCCCAAATTGGTTTTGGTCAGTATTTTTATTACAGCAATTGAAAGTAACTAGAACAAACTATAATGACCCTTTTCCCTGCTCTTTTTGAGACACATCTCATTGGATCTTAGGTTTTTTATATTCCTCCTCCTGAGTGCTGGCATTGCAGGACTGTGCAACTGTGCCTAACTACAATAAACTTCTATGTTGTTGGACTAGCATCAAATTGTGACTTTGGCTTTTTGGTACAGGTAGCTGGACTCAATTCTAACTTATAGAAAAGAGACACACTAAGGCTGTCTACAGAACAGGAAAACAACAAGACTTTCAGGTTTTCAAAAGATTTTTAAAAGGGGAAGGTCTTCAATCTAGTGGTAGTCCTGGACAAAAAAAGTGGCCTTAGGGGCTGGAGAGATGACTCAGAGCATTGACTGCTCTTGCAGAGAACCGGGGTTGAGATCCCAGCACCCATGTGGCAGCTAACAACTGTCTGTAACTCCAGTTCCAAGGGAATCTGACACTCTCTTTTGACCTCTTCCAGTACTGCATGACATGGGTGCATCTACACACATGCAGGCAATACACTCATACACATAAAATAAAAACAATACATTTTTTGAAAAAGGTGGCCTTAGTCACTCATTTTATTGCCCTGCTACTTACCTTACAGTTTCTAGTTAGATCTGCATGAGACACTTCCTATATGAGGCTCTGAGGAATGAAGAAGAAAGGAAGGCCATTACCTGGTGAGGGGTTGTGTATATGAGGAAGATGTGGTGGCCCAGAGAGTTCCTGGTGACCAGGCTGGCCAGCGAACAGCCTGTCTAGCAGCTTATCAGAAGAAGACACAGTCCAAGCTTTGCAGGAGAACACCTGATTAGTGTCACCCTTCCAGGGATTATCTAATGGCACCTGGCAGCCAGTCCTATTATTTAATAAGTCCTGTTCACTTCGACTTTTCTGAGAACGTTGGGCAGTATGTTGAGGGCCAGAGCTTAGGCCAGCATGAGAAGTGGTTCCATGGGAGGCTGTCAGGAAGTTATTACCCAGGGTGATGGGTGGGAGACTCTGTGTTCTGATTGGTGGAAGCCCCTTCCAGGCCAGGGGTTTCTTTTCTGGCAAGAGATACTTTGAATTCTCTGAGGTCCTCTTCTTAAAGACAACCATAGCCACCTTGCCACCAGGCTGCTCTTGGCAGTTGGTAACACTGTCAAAGGTGGTGATGATGTTACTGACTTCCGAGGTGTCCTCCCCCTTGTGCCTGTCCCTGCTGTGGTCCTTCTGAGGGGCTTTCTGCTCTTCTTTCTTGTTTTTGCAGAAGATTTGGTTGAGCATGCTGAATCGCCCTTCCTTCTTTTGGGGTCGACTGTTTTGTGGAGGAAGAGGTTGAGCAGGCTCAACTCTATAGAAATATAAAAGAACAAAGATGCCAGGTGAGGACAGGAAATATCAGTAATCAAAATACTGGCATCCCCATTCCATCTGCTTGGTCAGCTTGTTTGGGATCATCCACAGATGTGCAAGGAGTCCTCGAGTCAAGATTTTGTTCAAAAACTCCAACTCTCCATTAGCTCCTTGCAGAACTGTTTCTGAAACACAGCTCTCTCTATCTCTCTCTCTCTCTCTCTCTCTCTCTCTCTCTCTCTCTCTCTCTCTGTCTCTGTCTCTCTCTCTCTCTGAGACAGGGTCTCACTGGGTAATATAGCCTCAAACTCGTAATTCTTTTGCCTCAGCCTCCTGAGTACTGATTACAGGTGTGTGGGAGCACTGTTCTACCAGACTACTCTTGATTCTTCAGGGGCTATATTATTTCCCCCCCCCCCCCATTTTTTTGTTCTTTGAAAGCTTTATATATGTATATAATGAATTTTGGTCATTTTCACACCCATTTCCCCTCTCTCATCCTCCTCCCTCTCCTGCTGAAACCTTTCTTTCCAGGAAGTCCCCTCTTACTTTCATGACTTATTTCTGTGTGGACCCACTGGTTTAATGAAAGTTTCTTGCATGTGCAGGTGGGAGGTTATTTACTGGAGCATGGGAAATTTATCAGTGGCTATACCACTATAGAAAATAATGTGAGACCTCTGGACTACCCTGACAAGTATACCTGTCACCACTCATCAAAGAAGCTTCATTTTGCAACAGATGGAGACTATTACAGAGTTCTAAAACTAGCCACACACAGAGAATAAGTGTAAGATACTCAGTCCTGCATCTACAATGGAACCTCTACATCTAAGGCTCACAGAACATAGTGGAACAGGGGGTAGGGAGAATACTAATGCATTTCTCAACTCTCAACAGCAAAGCTTCCTCATGCAACAATGGGTGATTAACACAGAAAGCCACAATTAGCCAAAATATATAGAGTAAGAGACTGCAGAGTGCATGTCCCTTGATAGGACTCTTATCTTAAACCTCACTCACCCAGAGCTCAGGGACCATTGCAGAAGAGAGGGGCAGAAAGATTGTAAGAGCCAGGGTTGGTGGATGACCACAAGGAAACAGAATTTTCCAGGCTTCTGGGAGCTTACTCATATGAACTTACAGCAATGGTGACAGTATGCACAAGGCATGCAAACTCAAACCAGACAAAAACCCAGTACAGAAGTGGGGAAATGGGTAAGAAGCCCCAGCCTTAGCTGAGGAACCACTAGGAGGGAGTTGGTCTTCTTTAAGGGAGTGATGATAGATAGGTGGACCAGGCTCCAGAGGATGAACTCACACCCAGGTCATCTGGGAACACAAACTTGACTCAATAGAACTTACCATATATGACAAGAATGCATGAAATCTAGTTGTGGGGTGGCTGTGAGTGGGTGCAGATAGAGGAGGGAGTATAAATAGATTAGGTTGGATGACATGCCCAAAAATTCAATTAAAATATATTGAAAAAAAATAACATCCTATCCCCCAACAACCTAATAGCTGCCCATAGTCCCTTAGGGAGGGCCCCTCCTCTATCCATGATGAAAGTGGGTGGGCTTTATCTTGTGCAGGTCTTGAGCAGAGAACCACAGCTGTAGAAGGTTCATGAGTACAAGACTACATCCTTATGGCTTCATATTCTTTCTACCCTCTCCTGTGATGTTCCCTGAGCTTGGAGGGGGTGACACGGCTATTTATCCCTCCTATTTAGGGGATAGCACTCCACTATCACTTATTCTTGGCATTTTTGGCCAGTTATGGGTTTCTGTGTTAACCTCTATAGTCTCTCTCTCTCTCTCTCTCTCTCTCTGTCTCTCTCTCTCTCTCTGTCTCTCCCCCCCCCAATATGGAGAGCTTGATGTTGTGTCTTTCTCAAGCAATCAACCTTATTTATATAGTTCTTCTTTAATCTACATTTATTATTATTGTGTGTGAACAAACGCTGTCTGAGAGAAGCTGCATCTTCCACTGAACCTTCTGGTAAGATTGAATAACTGCTCAGAACTTCAGTGATTCTGGAGAGTTTGGAAGGTTAAAATTCAGAGTTGGAATATCCTGGGCCTTTAGACCTCTTAACAAACACTTATTGCCTTCCTCTGGGTGTGAGCTAGTATCTTTGTGATTTTTAGGTAAATCATTTAGAATGTACAGACAGCCAACTGCCACCAACCAGAAGGCCTCAGCATCTGAGGCCTATTGCAGATTTCTCCGTTTTGCTTTAATCTGCCTACCTAATGTTTCTACCAATATATTTGAAAAGTGCCTTGATTTATGACTTTCTTTGTTCTGTTACTAAAAACTTCATCAAACTGTTACTACCATGAAACATGGAATTTGGGCTAACCCAAATCTATGTTCCTGGACCATGTCACTCACATTTGGTTCCAGAATAAAACTTTTGTCCTCTTTGAGGTGAGAGTTGTGTGTGTGTGTGTGTGTGTGTTGTATAAGTGTGGATACATGCATGTATGCCATGGCATAGGTGTGGAAGTCAGAGTACAGCTTTATGGTGCTTGTTCTGTCCTGTCACCTTTCTCTCACTTAATCTAGAGCTGATTTATTCAGCTAGACTGTCTGGCCAGCAAGCCCCAGAGATCCTGTCTTTACTTCCCTGGTGCTTAGATTATAGACTACAGGTGTGGGCACTATGCCTGGCTTTTGCTCAGGTCCTCAAGCTTGGACAGCAAGCACTTTACCAGCTGAACCATCTCCCCAGCCTCCAGGAGCTATATTCTTTCCATGTTTCACCCTGTGGCAATTTCCTTTCACCTAGCAATTGAAGAAGCTGAAGACAGTTCAAGTGTTACTTGTTCTTTCTTTCGGTGGCTGCTAACAGGGACACGGGTGTTAAGAGATGAAGTCTAAGTGTGTGAATTTAGGCTTCACGTGGCAGAAAGGATGGAAGCTGTTAAGGTGAGTGTAGTTTTAGGCTTTCTCCAAATGAGAGAGAGCCTAGGGAATCCAAACAATAAGCTGACTTTACCTGTCCTGGAACCTGGCCTGTTTTACATTTTGTTCTTTTTGGTCTTTTTGAGACAGGGTCTTCCTGTAGCCTCAGCTGGCCTGGAACTCACTGTGTAGACCAGGTTGGCCTCGAACTCACAGAGTAGGCCTCTGCCTCCCAAGTGCTGGGATTAAAGACATGGGCCACCACACCCAGCTTATTCTTTGTTTTTCTTCAGTAGTTTTTCAGATAAATTTGGTCATGAAAAATACTGTTGTAAAGGAAACAGGCAGAGAAAAGCCTTAGCTTGAATTTGAGCTCCAGTGTAAGAGGAAGTGCGTGTGTCAGTGGTAGGGTGTGGCAGGCATGAGCAATGCCCAACACGCAGGCAAATGTCAAAGAAAAAAAGGTCAGCAGCAGCTGTTTGGCAGCTTGTTAGAGTGTTTCCCTGGGGCACTGCTCGATTTTAGTTCCTGGGAAAGCCTGTGCTAGTCTCTTTTGAGTCCACAACTGAGTTCATGATGTCTGCAGCAGAAATCTACCGTGAAACCTGACCCACGTGCAGGCCTCTGAGACTGCAACATCGCTTTTTGGAAGGAGGCTGTAATCTGTTTGAGGAGCACCAGCACTCATTTTACATGCATATAATGGATGTTTTCTCAGGTCACCCAGGCTGCAATTGAATCTTTGTTCCCATGATAGTTTTTTGGTCATTTATATTATTATTATTTTTTTTTAAATTTTTATTTTATTTTTATTTTATGTGCATGAGTGTATTGCCTGCATGTATGTGAGTGCACCTGTGTTGTGCAATGCCGGAGGTCAGAAGAGGGCTTCGGATTCCCCTGGAACTGGAGTTAAGGATGGTTCATAGCCACCATGTGGGTGCTGGGAATTGAACTGGGGTCCTCCACAAGAGCAGTCAGTGCTCTTAACAGCTGCGCCATCTCTCCACCCCCCATTTATATTATTTTTAAAAATTAACATTCTTCTTTGATGATCTTACACATTTTGATCTTCAGTCACTTTTCAAACTACTGAACACAGCTGGACTTCTAGTATTCCCAAAGGGACCCCCAGGGGACCACTCACATCCTCTCATACAGACTATGTGTCTATGTTAGTGGCCTGACAGCATCTTCCACAGCCATCTCCTCCTTATGTTGCTGGCTGGGTCAGTGGGTTTCAAAGTGTGGTCCACTGAAAGAGAAAGACAGGAAGGGGCCAGGGTCCCAGTATCCCGTTCAAGGGTGCATAGCAATGACCCAACTTCCTTCCACTAGGCCCCCTTGTCTAAAAGGTTCCATGGGATTTTGGGGGAACATTCAGGATTCAAATTGCAGCAGTGTTGTATTGTGTAGTGGAAATGTGCTTCAAGAGCAGATTTTAGGTGTTCTGATCACACGCAAAAGGTATCTGTGAAATGAGGAATCTGTGGAGGACTGGACTAGTAATGATTTCACTATGAATATGCACATTATATGTCATATATATGCTTTAAATATATTCAATAAAAGTATACTAAAAATAAGCAAAGTAAGCCTATTATTTCAAGGAAAGCCATGATAGTGATACCAGTTACAAAAGTCTAGCTTTCAAGCAAAAATTAGGATTTTATAAAAGTTTTATTCATACCTTAATCTTAGCAGCATCCTACAACATGAAGGCTTTTCTTACTAGATCACTAGTGGTATTAACAAATGTGATTTTTTTCTATTTGTCTGTCTGGTTCTTGATATTTGAGACAAGGCCTCATTATACAGACCAGGCTAGCCTTGATCTAACTGTGTAATCTGGGCTATTCTTGAATTCATGATGCTCCTGCTTCGACCTTCTGAATGCAAAGATTATAAGTGTGTACTGCTACCCCCACCTGTGGTTTCTGAGACTGCATAACTCAATGTTGTTTGCAATATATTCATAACTAAGTGAACCAATATTTTTCAAATGACCAGCACAGATGTTATGAAGTTTTGAATGAATATATCATTCATTTAAAGTATAAGATTTTGTAATGGATTTTGCTATAACAGAGTTTAAAGAATTTGTTAATACAGTGACAGAGTCTACTATCATTTTTGGGAAACTAATACTTGTCAAGTTTTGCTCTACCAAAGAAATACACACAACTGTCTGAAAAAGCTGTTGAAATACTCCCTCCTTTTTAATTATATAACTGTATGAGGCCAGATTGTCTTCATACACTTCAACATAAACATTCTATATATCAAATTGAATACAGAAGTAGACACAGAAACCAAACTGTATCTGTTAAGCTCCGACTAAAACATCAGTATCAAAGAGATTTCATTTAAGGACATAGGAATGTGGATTCCTTCCAAATCAGCTCATTTGGAAGATAAATGACAAAAGCAAATGTCTCAAAATTGAAAAGAATTCAGTCTCCAGTGATGATTGGCAGGGAGAACCCATAAAGAATTAATAGATGGAGATGCAGCTGAACTCTATGGAAACCATAGGTTATGTAACTCTTTTCAGTAATTAGCTTCTAATGGAGCACCATGCCTTCACTAACTTGCTGGGTATTGTATGGAAGGATTTTATCATTAAGTCAGAGCAGGGAGATTTAACATACGTGTTCTGGAATCAGTAAATACAGTCACCTTAGCTTTTATTTTTAGTAGTCATTGCCACCAATTTCCATTAATGTAAACTTTTAGTTCAAAGGAGAATCTGGATTTTTCATCTGATCACTTAAAAGTTCTGTGATTTTGCCGGGCGTGGTGGCACACGCCTGCAGTCCCAGCACTTGGGAGGCAGAGGCAGGCAGATCTCTGTGAGTTCAAAGACTGCCTGGTCTACATAGTGAGATCCAGTCCAGCTGGGGCTACAAGGAGACCCTGTTTCAAAACGACCAAAAAAAAAAAAAAAAAAGTTCTGTGATTTTGTGTGTGTGTGGGTGTGTGTGTGTGTGTGTGTGTGTGTGTGTGTGTGTGTGTGTGTGATGCATGTGAGCTGTCATGACGTCACCTTTTCACCATGGCATTCACATGAGGACTAGCTATCCAAGTTCTCAGATAGCTATAGAGCAGAACATATGAATGGATGAAACAACACAATAAATTCTAAAAAGATTTAATGGGAATGAACTAGAAATAAAGGCTTTCAAGTGCTGGTATCTTAATAGCAGTATCTGCAAACACTGTGGGTTTAAACAACTAAGAAATGATCAAAATTGGCTAAATATACTATTCATTGTCTTCACAATATTTTCTTAATAGTTTCTGAATTGATGCGGTGGTGTTTGTTCCTTCCGTATTTATAAATGTAACACTTTTTAGTGATTCTAAACATAGAATTACTTGGTTTGAAATCAAGTGGTTGAACTAGTCCTGACTTTTGTTTTAAGAATTCGATTGATTGAATGTTTCATTGAGGAAGCTTTAAGTCAGTTTTATCAATTCGATTCTGTAATGAACACAGCACCTAATGTTTTGACTTACTCTGTTGTGAGGACCAATGCTTAAGCTGGATTTTTCTGGATTTTGAGCAGCAACCCAGTAGATCTGATGACAAATTGCTGTCTTGAGGTCTGATTTTTTTTTCCCCTTTGTAATAGGATTAAGAATTCTAACACTGAAAACTCACACAGATTTGTAAGGAATAAAGCCAAGGGAAAAATGGAATTTGTACAATGAATAGTAAATCTATCCTAGTGTAATTAGAGGAATGAAAATTTCTGTGTCCTAATTTCTCTCTTCATTGGGGTTAGACTTTGATCAGTTGAAATGTATATCACAATTTAAGCTTCAAGATTGCTTAATTATCTAGTTAAAAAAGATTTGCCAAAAATATAAAGTAATGCTGCTCTTATTAATTTTCTTTGTTTTGGAAAATAACATCATTAAATAAAAATTTATTCATTTATTTATTGGTAGCGTCTTGTTAGGTATGTGGCCCAGACTGGCCTCAAATTCATGATCCTTCTGCCATGGCTTCCTAAATTTCAGGATCACAGGTAAAATATTTTTATTTTTAATTAAAATATGGTTTTTATTAACATATAATAAGCATGGATTTATTACTTGAAACAAATAACTAGAATATTTTATTAAAAATTTCTCAGTTTAGCCAGGCATGATGGTACACACCTTTAATTCTAGTACTTGGGAGGCAGAAGCAGGAGGATCTCTGTGAATCAAGGCCAGCCTGGTCTACATAGCAAGTTCCAGGTCAGCTGGGGCGATGGGGAGACCCTGTCTCAAAAAAAAAAGGACAAAAACCCACAAACAAACAAACTTCTCAGTTTAAAATACTGGCATCTTTAATTATTTCTCAGAGTGTAAAAGGGTCTTGAGAAAAAGCCCCAAGAATTGCTAATTTGGGCAAAAGAAGAAAGAAGGAAAGGAGAGAAAGGAAAGGAAAGAGTCAAGTTTTGTGTGCTGATGGATTCAGGCTTATTGCTGTTATCTTATTCCACATAATGGAGACCATTTTACTCTGTGTTAGATGATAGCAAACATAGGCAATTAATTATATAATTAATAATGTTACATATATTACATAAGTATAATAATATTAAATTACTGAGACCAGAGAAATGTCTCAGTGAGTAAAGTGCCTTCTGACTACTGAAATTTGTCCTCTGACTGTCACATGTCACACACACACACATATAATATTAACTTACTGCTGGATTTTCACATTGATGGTTTAAGAAATCTTACTGTTATAAATCTTTGAGAGGATGAAAAACAAGCTTCCTGATGCACGCACCTGCTCTTTTGTGAGAGGAGCTTGACACAGGCTGTGTGGCCACAGTACAGGGCATAGGCCAGGGGCGTGCTCTCATTGATGTCCCGTAGGTTGCTGTCCATACCCAAGTCCAGCAGAGACTGGACACATTCTGCCTTTCCAGCAGCTGCAGCCCAGTGCAGGGGTGTCCTGGAGGAACAACACAGGAAAAACACAAGGGGCTGAGCGTCTGAACTATACAGGCTGGTTAGCCATTCTGGGCTCCCACTCAGAATCAGGTTGAAGTAGGAAAATCCCATTGCTAGTCACAGTAGGAAATGGTATAAACCTGGTCTAGGAAGGCTAGGGTGTGTTTGTAGGAGGCTTTCCTCTGGCTTTATGTATCCTCCCTGCCTTTCCACCTTCTCTGGTCTTCCTGATAGTTTCCTAGCAGAGGAAGTATGAACAGTTTTAAGGTTCTTTATACACAGTGCCAACTGCCTTCTAGGAAGACAGACTCACTTACCCCCCTCCAGCAGGGTCCTTATTCCTTCTGGAGCACTGAGAACTGTTACCATCTTTTAAAAAACTTCTTCACCAGTTTGGCAAAAATTTGCTGTTGTTGCCTTGAAATTTTTGCTATTTGAATTTCTTCATTGACATTACTTTTATACCTTTTGTATCTCCCTCCCCACCTTTTTTCCCTTTGAGACAAGGCTTACTGTACAGTGAAGTCTAGCTTTGAATTTGCAGTCATCTTGCCTGAGCCTCCTGAGTGCTGAGATTACAGGCATGTGCCATCATGCCTGGTTCTATTGTCCAATTTTGTATTAGAGTGTTAATATTGTCCTTACTAATTTGTATAGGCTCTTTACATATTTAAGGTATTGATCATTTATAGGTCATTTATAACAAACTTAGAAAATTGTTACTTAACCTTTAATTTTTAATGATTTTTCTATTAAAAGTGGGAAAACAATCCCATTTAATTCCATTTCATTTTGTTTCGTTCATGATATTATGCTTAGAAAGTCCTTTATTAACTAAAAGACAGATATTCATCAATATTTAAACATTGGTTAAATTGTAAAACTAGTGTTTTCTTAAGAAAATAAAGAGAAGCTAGACAGGAGAGAATATTTATAAACTATATATCTAACAAAAGGCTTATACATAGAATACAGAAGATCTTTCAGGACTGAAGAATTAAAAAACTCATTTGAAAAATAGCAGACTATCAGAATAGACACTTCATCAAAAAGCTGTGTGGGTGGTGAAGAAGCACAGGAGGAGGTGCCTACCCAACAACATTTATCAATCCCAGAGGGCAAGAGGGTAAAGCAGGAGGGTAGCTGTGAGTTCAAGCAAGCCTGGGCTACACAGTGAATTCCAGGCCAACCAGGGCTACAGAGTGAGACTCTGCCTCAACAACAAAAAATTGTCATTAGGGAAATGCAAGTTAAAATGACAAGGAGATACAACATACCCATTAAGATAACTAAAATAAGGCAAATCCCAACAAAGTGTGGTAAAAATAATAGATGCTGGTAAAATATAGAAAAATTGGAATATTATTACAATATGAGTGGAAGTTTTACATGGCTAAACATATATGGACTGTTTGACCCTGAAATCTGACTTCTAAATAATGAGATAGAGAAATTTTACATTAGCATAAAAACCTGTTCTCAACTGTTTATAGCAACAGCATCATAAATTCCCCAAACTACAAACATCCCAAAATCCTTCTCTGTGTCAATGGGTAAACAAACCATGGTCCATCTATACTGTGGAATATTACTCAATGGACAAAAAGAACATGATATGGACAGTAGAGCTGAATCTCAGATGCATTCTGCTAAGTGACATAAGCCCGTTTCAAAAGGTTCCATAATGTACAGAGGTTGCGCTTCCCTATTCTAAAAATCTGAAATAGAAAATGCTCCCAAATCTGAAACTGAACACTCGCATGTTGGATGTCACAAGTGGAAAATCCTCCATCTGACCCTGTATGACAAATCACAGCCAAAATGCAGGTACACTTAAAATACTGTATAAAATTGCCTTTTAAAAAAATTTATTTAGTTTTTCTGTCTTTTTGAGACAGGGTCTTCCTGCAGCTCCAGCTAGCCTGGAACTTGCTATGTAGACCAGGCTGGCCTTGAACTCACAGAGATCTTTCTGCCTCTGCCTCCCAAGTGCTGCGATTAAAGTCATGTGCCACCACTCCCAGCATAAAACTGCTTTTAAACCACATATATAAACAAATTTTGTGTTTAGATAGGTTACATTCCAATATATCTCATTACATATATGCAAATCTTCCAAAATTCTGGCAATTCAGAAATCTGAAACACTGATTGTACAGTTATGGCTAAGGAACATTCAATGTGTAGTCCCATGTATGTGACATTCTGAAAAAGACAAACTGTAGAGAGAGAATTAGTCAGTAGTTGCCAGGGCTTAGGATGGCAGAGTGCTCCACTATACAAAGACAACATGAGTTGATGCTGGAGTTAATAGAATTGTTCTGAAATTTGTTGGTGCTGATACTTGAATCCGTGCAAGTTAAAACTCATATACTGTATACCAAAAAAGGGGGGTGGATTTCTGGATATAAATAAAAAGGAAACTAGCATTTTTTTTCTTAATTTATTTGGATTAAAAATAAAAAACAAAATCTGGCATGGCGACTCACGTTTGAAATTCAACACTTAGGAAGCTGAGGCAGTAGGATTGCAAGTTTGAGGCCAGCCTGGTTACATAGTGAGATCCTATCTCCAAATGAATGAATGGATGAGTCAATGAAATACAAATGTATGTATCTAAATCATGTTTCAGTATGTGCAGTGGGGTGTGGTACAGTCTGCTTTTCTAATACATGACTTACTTTTCTCAACACCATTTAATAAAGTGCCTGTATTGTATTTTGAGATCATGTCCTATTGCATAGTTCTACCTTTCTTCTGTCCTCTATTTAAAGGCATGGTTGACTTTGTACTTAACCTCAGGGGAGAGGTATGGAAGGCTAGATAAGACAAAAGATGTTTATCTGTTTCCACAAGCCAAGCTTAAAGCTGGAAGCAGATCTGGGGCAAAGGCAAAATATTGCATTGAACATAAAAAGGGAGTTGGATCCCCAATGCTGGACAGAAAATCCTTCCTCAGATGTCAAGGTAGGTGTGACAAGAGGATGGTAAAGGGCTGGGAATATAACTCAGGAGCAGAGGATTGCCTAGCAGGTGTGAGGCCCTGTGTTCCATCCTCACCGCCAATAAAACATTGAGATTGCCAAGAGCACAGAGACTAGAACTCAGCTTCCTTGGTGAAGCTACTGGGAAGGAGGGGTGTGTTTCGCCAGTGTGTGGTGTATTTAGCCAGTGGGACCCCCTTGCAGCCCAAGATCACTGTGCTCCTAAGCACAGCATGGAAAGAGTGATCTTTGTCAGGCCTGAAAGGACAAAGACTAGAATCAAGAGAGCCAGCTTTCTCTTCTGTTCTTATACACATTTTGGTAAAGAAAGGAAAGTATGAAGAAGAAGAGACTAAAAGAGATGGAGGTGAAGTTTCCCACTCATCAACTGAGATGGTTAGAAAATAAAAATTATAGGGCTGGCTGCAGCTCAGTGGTAGAGTGTTTGCCTACCATGTGTGAGGCCCTAGGTTCGATCCTCTGTACTGAAAAAAAAAAAAAAAGGTTAAAGTCATAATAATAAAAAGTATTACAATAAAAAAAATTTGGTTATAGCATACCATTCATATTTGATATAGTGAGAATTCTATCCTCTCCCCTTGGATGTACATTAAGCTCTATGTAAGGTGAGAATGAGACAGTTCACTCATTGTGGTACACCTATAGCAGCTACCACAATAAACAGCTGGCCTGTTTGTGGTCTCAACAAAATAGTTACTAAAAGGATGCCTTTATTTTTATTTATTTATTTATTTATTTATTTATTTATTTTAGTCTTTTTGAGACAAGGTCTCCCAACTGTTCTAGGCCCAACTGGCCTAGAACTCACTATGCAGACCAGGCCAGCCTTGAACTCACAGAGATCCGCCTGCCTCTGTTTCCTGAGTGCTGGGGCTAAAGGTGTGTGCCGTCATGCCCAGCAAAAGGATGCTTTTATGATAGTGCTTTCTTTATTATGCCACTGACAAAAATAATTCTGGCAATACTTTGACTTTTTAAAAGTTCTGTGAGTAGAAATGAGAATTTGAACAATTCATTTTGATAACCTGCCCTAATGGATCTTTAAGTAGTCTGTTGTACATCAAAACTTTTATCCAAAACAGAAGTTTGAGAATATGAAACATATATAGAGTTAACCTGCTGAGAGAGAGAGAGAGAGAGAGAGATCTTCAAAGTATATTTACTCCGAAGAAATGTTTCTTCCTTAACTGTAGTCCTATGCAGCTCTGTGCACATATTTTTTGGAAGCTATAGGCTTATGATTGCTTGGACATTGCTAGTCCAGAGGTGACTGGACTAGAGGTGATGAATAGCCTTGGCTACTAGGCTTTTGGAAAGTACTGTGTAAAGGGACTATACAATCTGTGAATGATTTTATCCAAGATTGAATAGGCCGTATTTTGGATGATGTCATAATTTTGGGCTCTGACTTTTTTCTGGGGAGAGAGGTAAGGAAGACAAAGAGTGAGATGACATTCTTTTGAGTGGGATCTCCGCTACAGAGAATGAGCATGCTCCTATTTCTCATTCTGGAAATGGGCCAATCCTGGGGCAGGAGGGAAGGGCATGGCAGGCCTCTGTTTGGTCTTGTTCTAGAGCCTGACCTCTGGGCAGAAGGGCACTCTGAAGAGGGTCACATTGTCCCTCATGTGTGGGAGAATCTGGAGGTGGGCAGAGAGGGCTCATCTAGGCTGTGAAGGGGTGGGTGTGACCTGAGAGTGTCCAGGTACATAGTATGAGCCCTTAGTCCCCATGCACAGATTATGTCCTCTGTCAGTGAAATACCTCTCTCTTCATGTTGTGCTATAAGTAGTAATTTTATGACACCTAATAGGGCACTATATTATTTGTAGTATAGTGGTCTAACAGTGTATTATTTTCATTGTAGTGATTTATAACACTGTATATTTGAATGTGGAGATACAATTTGTTCCAGTCTATGTGAGAGAGGTCTCCAGACAATATTTATTTTAGAGCAAGATGAGGCAACAGCAAATTATGCACTCTGATTTAGAGGAAACATTGCCAATAAATTCAGTAGATAGAGGACTGGATGTTGGTCTAGTCGGGCTCTCCAACATGTGATAATTCACTTTGAAGGTTTGTGAAATAAATTCTGCCTTACACTTGCTAAGGCCAACTTTTTAAGTTCCTCTGGCTCTCACTGTGGAAGAGGTCTAGAAGAGCAGAGGGGACAGTTTAATTGTTCTGCTGAGAAATAAGGGGTGCACACAGACAACCTCTGATCCATGTAGCCTTTGTGGCTCACCTGTAGCTGTGGACTCCATGTTGTTGAGCTACAGCTCCTTTCTCACCCACAGCTTTAGGATCCCCTGGCAGACACAGCAGGCTGGCCTCAGCGATTGCAGTGGGAGCTGATTGTCAGGAACCCTGATTTAAAGGAATGGAGCAGAGGCCAACACGGGGGTTTGTGGTGGTTTCTGGGTGGTGAGGGATGATGGGATGTAAGGATACAGCACTGGTCCAACTCTTAGTAACTAAGGAATGGTTTATGAAACACGTAAACATCCCCAGAGAGTTCCCAGAAATATTCAGGGAGGAGAACCTGATAAAATGCTGTCCTCCCTGAAGAGAAATGAGCTGTTTATTAAAGTGAATTATGACCTCATGGACTGATGAAATTTGGAACATTGCTTCTAGGTTACGTGTGCTGTGCCATTAATCATAGGTGAGTACCACCAAATATTTTAAATACTGTAGATTTATTTTGTGTTTTGGAATAATTTTTACATTTATTTTGCATATGTGTGTGTGTGTGTGTGTGTGTGTGTGTGTGTGTGTTTCACATGCCACTGCACTTGTGTGGTGATCAGAGAACAACATTCTTTGGGAGTCAGCTCCCTCCTTCCACTATGTAGGTCCTGGATGGAACTCACATTGTCATGCTCTTGTACCTACTGAACTGCCTTGCCAGCCCTTTTGTTTTGGAGGGGGACGGTGTTGAGACAGTGTCTGTCTCTGTCACACATGCTGTAGCCCATGCTGGCCTCCATTTTGTGGCGATCCTCCTACTTCAGCCTTCTAAGGGCTGGGATTACACAGTGCACCACCATGCCTGGCTTTATAATGTGGTTTAATATAGATGATGACTAGTTCTCTATGATCTCTCTCTCTCAAATTGCAATCTTAATTTTCTTCCCTTCCCACAAAAAAAACTTCCTTTTAGAACCCTTTTCACTAGGAAAGACAAGGAAAGGAAAGGAAGGAAAGAGGAGTTATTATAATTGTAAATGCCTTAAGCTTATGATAATTTTGAATAATTTAGTTACTAACAGAAACGTCTAGTTTCAGGGAAAAGGCAGGGTTTCATGTTCAGCATGAGGAAACACGAAACAAGATGGAGGCAGGGGAATGCCTGAGCAGAGTTTGGAGTAGGAGTAGGCGCTGAGCCCTCCTGGAGACCATATTTCCCTCTTGATCAGACTTCTCTTGTTTCCCTTCAATTTTTTTTTTTTTTTTTTTTTTTTTTTTTTTTTTTCTCCGTAGGTTCACTTTCTTCCTGGGAGCCCAGGAAACTGGATATCTTTGCTACATGTCTGGTGCTGCAGATGAGAACCAGTCCATTCTGAGCTGGTCTAGCAGCATTCTGAAGCAGGTGAGTCATCTTTCGTCTCTCCCTTCTGAAATTTGTTCATTTCTCCCCTTTGTGGATGTTTCACCTTGTTGACTCACATTACTAATATCCCTTCTCATCTGCTCAGGACCAACACCTGCTCTTAAGAAAATGTACACTTTAGTTTTAATTAAAACCATCAGGTTAACCAACTCTAGCTTCTGCGACTTCGTGGAACACAAGAATTCCCCCACCCTCATGTTAGAAAAATTTCAGATATTGAGGGAGATACTTTTTCTGACATCTATTATCATGATAAGCAGGTAGCTAACTCTGCACTTTAACAGAAAATTTATATACATACTCCAACAGTAGCTTTGCTTATTGTATTTTTTATTACTTACTCATGGACTCAGCGTGTAGACTAAGCAAAGATTCAATAAGTAGTCACTGTAAACACAAAGCTCTAAATTTGCAAGACACAGGTACAATCAATCCTTCACTGGGTTGCTAACAAGTCTCAAGATAAGTCTTTCCTTTCTGGACCCAGTTTCCTTTTCTAATGGTTATGTCACCAATGACTGAAAAAAAACGATCCTGATAAGGTTTATGGTTTTGATTCTTTCCCACTCTTCTCTGGATAAGAACTTGTGGGCATTGTGAAATAACTCAAGAATGAAGAAAATAAGAACTTTATTAAGAACAAGGGCCTGTGTCAGGAAGTCAAAGCCTTCTGAGAACCCTGAAGACACAGTGAAAGGTGGAAAATCTGACCACATTGTGGTCTCAGAGCTTCTCTCCATAACAATGATCTTTCCTCCTTTTACTAAAATAGAGTCGTGTTTATTGTCACAAACGTGTATTACCAGTAACAAGGATATAGTCGGATAGGATAGCTCCTTAATCATCTTTATTTTAAGGTTAACAGGGAAAGATGACTGGTAGTTCCCAGCACTGACTGAGTTGCCATGGATACCTGTCATCCACATCCAGAGCCTGCAGGTTACACTCAGGGACTTTTGCCAGTTCGTTAATAATGTCGCCAAAACCCGCAGCGGCTGCAATGTGTACACACGTCTTCCCACTCTCATCATCACAGTTGATAATGGATGGGCCCTGCTGGTGGCTCAGAATGATGGAGCACAGGATTCTATTTCCACTCTGAAAAAAGAGTCAGAAAAAGCCCATCAGCAGCAGCCTAGGACACTTTCCTATCTGGGCATGTTAAGGGAGAGAAAGAGAAGGAGAAAGAACAGGAAAAATTACTCAAAAGACAAAGCTATAATAATTCTAAGATTTTTTTTTTTTTGGCTGGGGATTAGACACAGGTCATCACACATGCTAGGCAAATACTGTTCCACTGAGCTGCATCTCTAGCTCAGTATAGATATTTAAGTCAGCTTTTTTTCTATCCTTAAATTAGGCAATACTTAGTTCCCACAATACAGAATTAATGTTCCAATGGACTGAGCAAAGGAGGTTGCTTTTTATTATTTTTGTTATTTATTTTTTTTGAGACAGGATTTCACTGTGTAGCTCTGGCCAGCCTGGAATTTACTATGTAGGCAAGGCTGTCCTGGAATGACTCTGTAGACCAGGCTGACCTCAAACCTTTGGTGACTCTTCTACCATCTCCTAAATGCTGAAATTACAGGCCTGAGTTATCATGCCCAGCTTAAGGTTGCTTTAAAAGACAGTGAATGGCTGGGAAAAAAAATCAGAAATAAAGAACAAAAAGCAGATTGATCACTTAAAAGTTACTGGGGAATGGATAAACCCAGTTGCTTGGTTTATAATCAGTATATGTCAGGTTACTTGCAGGTATGTCTGGCCTTTTGACATTGCAACAAGGCATTGCCATGCACAAAGTTCATACTCTAGAACCACAAAATCTAGGTACCAGAAACAATTTGCAAGAAACTCTCACAACGTTTTAAGTAAGTCTACGATTTTGTGTTGGGTCATAGGTTGGACACCTGGAAAGATGAAAAATTAAAGCAGAGGGAGCTTCATTGTCATGTGGGTCTTTGGAAAATTTGGCTATGAGCTCTCTCCTGGCTTCTCAGAAGGTCAGATAACAACTTAGCTTGGCTTTAGTGTGTTGAAACTTAAGTGTGATGACTCCATTTTGATTTTTAATCTGTTTTATTTGGACCAGTTCAGAAATTCAGTCTAAAACAATGGCTGCTTATAACTTTTACTGTGCTGGGAGTTTTGCCTCCATTGGAGCTCACTTCTTCCATAATTAGTGAACAGAAGATGGATTTGATGACAGTTACAAAATGACATCAGAGCTAGCCTGATGGATGGGCCACCTAAACAACGAATTTCTCATTACATCTGTTCATTGGTTTCCACCCTCTTCTGGCCTCCACCCTTTTCGCCCTCCTCACTGGATAGGGCTAAACTGGCAAAGCCAAATTTAATATTAACACAGTGATTTGGAAGAATACCAATTAATGACACAAGGATTCAAAATAAAGTCTTGCTCTTTGAATTTGTGGAGCTTCTCAACCTACTATGGTGATTTTTATTTTCTCTTTAATGTGGTACTCCTTGTTCTGGGGCTTTTCACCCCAAATGCAGACCCTTGCAGATGCCCAGATCCATCCTGCACACACTGAGCCTGTTCCTCTGGGGTCTAGGGCTAAGCTCCTGCCAGAGCAGAGGGCAACAGCAGAGGCTGATGGGATCAAGGAGTGAACTCCTGAGAATTTGTCTCAGAGAGTTTGGGAGGTAAAACTCTGTGTGTGTGTGTGTGTGTGTGTGTGTGTGTGTGTGTGTATGTGTGTGTAGGCTCCATTGTCCAATCAGATTTCACTTATAAAACTGAGGCCTAGAGAGATGACTCAATGGTTAAGAGCACCGGCTCTTGCAGAGGTCCTAGATTTGGTTCCCAGCATTCACATGGCAGCAACAACATCCATAACACCAGTTCAAGGGGATCTGACACCCTCTTCTGGCCTCCATAAACATTGTACACACATGGTGTACTTACATACATGCAGGCAAAACATTCATACATATAAAAATTTTTTAAAAAAGTAAATCAAACAGAATGTCTAGATGCTGACCACAGAACATTCTCCCTCAGGCATTTCAAGTAGAATGCTCCTTCCTGGACTTGGGAGTGACCACCTTGGTTACATAGCTTGAAAGTAGGCTCTGTATACAAAGGTCCTCCTTCTCTTCCTCTCAGCCCTCTTAGATCCTTTTCCTCTCATCATCTATCCCTTGTTTTACAGGATGTCGATATAACTCGATCAACTGTGTTCTATGCATGCCTGCGATAAGAAGTTTGCTACACTATGTACATCAGGAGTTATTTTCCTAAGCTTTTTCTCTAACACTTTTGATGCTACTCAAGACATTTTGAAGGGGTCTGGAATACAGCTCAACAGTCAAGAGGTTTTTTTCTTGAAAAGCAGCAGCTGCTGGAGAAGGAAAACAGAGAAGAGTGCCAACTCAGTGAATTTATTTTGTTTACAGTTTCCTGGAAGAGAAAAGGAATTCAGGTTGCCAAGGTGATTCACAGGGTTCCAGTTTCCCCTCTTTGTGGAAGAGGGAGCATTAAGGACAGGGGAAAACAAAACGACACTCCTCACCTCTCTTCCCCTTCTCCTCACCTGACCCTTGGGAGGAGTCACTTGGCAGTGGCTGTAGCCCAGGACCCCTGTGTCTGCCTCTTCTGGAATCTGTCCCAGGTGTTTTGGGAGCTGGAATACTGTAGACCACTTCTCTGAATAAGGACAGACAAAACCACCTCACTTCATTCTACACTTTTCTTCCAGCAAGCCTTTTGTTCTGAATTTTCCAGATAATTCCTTTGCCTGCTCTATATAACAGGATCATGTGCATTTTTCTTTATAAACTCCTCTCAGGAATACTAGTGATAGCTGCATGTTCAGAGAGAATGTTCCATGTCTGGTCCCTTTTTAAATCAGTCCTGATAGCAATCCCCAGAGGCAGGCACTATTATTCTTCTGTTAGAGAAGGCAGAGAATGGAAGCATAGAGGTATTGAGGCTTTTGCTTAAGGTCACAGCTAAGAATTAGCTGGGCCAGGATTGACTCTGTGGAGTTTGTACGCTTTGATTTTGGAGGAAAGGATCCTGCATGTTTACAATGGGGAAACTGAAGTGAAAGTTGCTGTTGACAGTAGCTGTGATGTGAGCCTTGCCACCTGCAGCCTGCATTCTGTAGAGTTAACAGTAGACACCTTAGGAACCTCTTCAAGAAGGTTGCCATGGTGCATCCTCCAGAGAATATGTAAGGAACCCTAGAGGCTTTGTAAGCCAAGGCCTAGGATAATGGTCCCTTGGTGACAACATTCTCTTAGCTCTCTGAACTTGGTGTCAGTCAAAGGAAGGCTCAGACCTCAAGGGTGAGGGAGGGTCACAGAGGCTAAGAAGTGTTGGGAGAGAAGAAATAAATGCTGCCCAGATGGGGCCATAGGAAGAACAGAGAGTGAGCTCACATTTGGTGGGAGTGTTATTACATCAGGGAAGTAATGATATCGCATATATCCTATTTGTGTGGAGCTCTTGGATTCTGCATTGAGCCCATAGATCAAGGATGTGGATGTGTTTATTTGTTTTGTTGTGTTTATTTGCTTTGTTTTTGCTGGTCCAGTAATCTCCATCATATTGCCTTCATGTGCTCTGAAAACTATTGAGTCCTAGTTGTTTTTCCTTTACAACCTTTGTGAAGGGGGAGAAAAACCTGACTTGGAAGGAGCCTTGCCAAGGAAAACGTTGAATTAATATGTAATGCTTTTTTAATAGCCTGAGCTCCTCCATTTTGTGTAAGATATCTTGGTGAACAGTCCCAGACCCTACCCTGGCCTGGGGCCAGAAGTTCCTGGAAGAGCTGGGGAACACACCCATATAATCTTAGTGTTAGAGTAGCAAATAGCCCCATAAATTTAACTGGTCAAGACTATAAAATCTCTAGCCTGTTGAAAGACACCTTTCCAGTTTCACTTGTCAATCATCTGGTCATAGGACCGCCCCTAGGAAGTCAGCCTCACCTTTAGCTATGGAATACCTAGTGCTTTAATGAGATAGTGAATTTTTCCTGCCTGGAATCCGCCTTTTAGCATAGAACTTCTGGACCAACCACAGTCATGTAGTCTGTAAGTCTTCCCGCTGAATTCTTTGAAAAAAATCATAATTTCTCCTTTTCTTTATATCCCTTTTCTAAACATTTTTTTTTCTAATGCTTTGGGCTGCCCTAGCATCTGGCATTTCTTTACTTTTTCTAGAGCTTCCTTCCCCCAGCCATGTGCCGCCAGCAGCACGTGTCCGACCCGACCTCCATGCAGGTTCTAAATCTCCAAGACTTCATGGCTTTCTTTCCTTCTCTCCATCATTCTCCCCATCAAGGTAACTGCCAAGATTACCAACTTGCCTGCTCTTCTGAGGAGTTTTCTTTAAAATTCTATAAAATTAACGGGCGTGGTGGTGCACACCTTTAATCCCAGCACTTGGGAGGCAGAGGCAGGCCGATCTTTGTAAGTTCGAAGCCAGCCAGCTGGTCTACATAGTGAGTTCCAGGACAGCTGAGGAGACCCTGTCTCCTCCCCCGCCAAAAAAATTCTAATGAAATTGTAAAAGCTCCCATCCCCTCCCAGTTAGGGTGGCATTCTCAAAATTGGCTCAGAGAGTGCTGCCCTGGCCAGCTAAACAGATTTTGCTAATTCGAAATTTTTTGAGTCTGAGTGTTCTTTTCCCAGTGATCTTGAACTCCATAACAATTTTACTACATGCAAATTGGTAAAAAAAAACAAAAAAACAAAAAACAGCAACAACAAAATTCAAGCATCTTGACTATGAATCCTCATTTAGATGACCTTTGAAGTGTGGTAGTTAGTGGGACCTGTAGGGTCTGTTGGCTATTAGCATATGTCTGAGGGAACTGTGATGGTTAATCTTTGCTGTCAGCTGAACTGGATTTAGAATCACTATGGAAACATCTTTGGGTCTGTCTGTGAAGATGTTTTCAGAGTTTTAACAAAAGAGGGAAGACCCACTCTGTATGTGTACAGTACCATATCATGGTCTGGAGTCCCATACTGAATAAAAAGGAGAAGAACTGAGTACTCCACTTCAACTCTTTGCTTCTTGACTATAGATGAGATGCAACCAGCTGCCTCAAGCCCCT